GCCATCCTCTCTGAAGAGAACGTTGTTGTCTGATCCACCATCGTACAACCCATCGTATGAAGACCCACTAATAAGAGATGAAATGTCGTCACACACACAGTGAGCTGCTCTAAGCCACCTTCACACCGCAGCAAATGAACCAGCAGAGAGGCTATGGCACTGGTAGCTCGTAAATCCGAATAGGAAGGAAAGGGTAGCCATTGTAACCGCAAAACTAATTCCAAGCAGATATACGTCAATGTAGGAACAAGTCGACGACTTTGGAAGTATGAGCGTATATAAAAGGGAAGAAATGGATATAAACTGTCCACGCTATCCTTTTTGTATTCTAAACCATACAAATCCGCCTGAGAAGACAATAAGGATTCACAGGATCTCAGAGGTGTAGAGAAGGATACCGCCTCTTTCTATGCTAAAATATAGAGAGAGAGAGGGAGAGAGAGAGAGAGGAGAAGGTAAAAATAGTTTTAAAAAAAAAAAAAATCAAATATTTTCAAAGGTGTATTTCAAATGAAGTTTTAGATGAAGAAATCTTCATTGAGATTAGGAGAGAAACTGTAGGGATGGAAATGACCCTTGTAGGTGTTTCTACTTCATTTCTACTAACCTCTAATTCCCCATCATAACAAGATCCCATGCTCTTGGAAGGAAGCGTATGACACCAAAGCTCTTCCATGATGTTTTCTAAAACCATGGATATCTCTGAGATACATTTTTCCTTGACTAAATGCACCCCTTGGCTCTCTGTTCCTTTTATTATACAAGAAGGATCCGTGAGCTTCCCAGAAAGTGCATCCAAGTCAGCCAATTGAATATAGATACTCGTTCGACGAATAATATTGAAGAGGATACGAGAGAAATAGCCTCTGCAACACATAGGGAGAAATCATAAGAAGAAAAACATGAGAGAAAGCATGAGAATGAGAGGTTCATAGCATCCTTAAAGGGTGCATCTACAAACCCATGGCATGAACTATGGATAGAAACCTGATAAATGCCTTGTTTGATGTCAATGATTCGATAAGGCGGTCATAACTTGAAATCTTTGTTTCTATTGTAGGATTTTGCTGGAAAATAAAAAAATATTTACACACTAGAGATAGTATTTAAGAGACCTCCCCTATTCAAAGAAATCTCTTCCCCTTCAAGAGGATAAATGCTGGGGTCTCATAGAAGAATTCTCTATTTTAGAAGATACAATCGTTGAAGTAGAAAAAAAAAAGAAATAATCGTATCTTCTCATCATAAATCTCTCCTGGTGATGCTTTTCCCTCACCTTTCGTAGAATTCTATTCAACCTTCTCTCCATTTTCTTTCCTAGTAGGACTCTCCCTCTATGGACCGCCTCCAACCCTCCCTCTTTCTTTTCTCGTCACTCTCTCCCCTCATAACCCAAAGTACTCTGATCACACGCCGTACCCAGCCAAGAAAAACTTCCATGCCGGTAGTATGGGAAATAAAAACCAGGAGAGTTTTCAAAGCAGAGACTTTCAGTTTCCACGATATACAAGCGCTTGCATGTAAGGCTATATCCATCAGCAGGGAAATGATGGAAACATCCTTGAAGAGGTGCATCATCTCCTTAAGTAGTAAAACATTGATGCCACAACTTCGTAATAAAGTCAATGCTAATAATTGGAGTTGAATTCGCCGTGGTAAATCCAGAGAGGAGGTAGAGGGGGTTTCATCGGCTGTACGTACACGTTCACTGCGGAAACACCAAAGGGTGGCTGCACGAAGCAATCGTATCCACAAGATTTTGGGAAATAGAGAGAGAGTGGGTAAACTATTGGGTGAATCTGCAGCATTCACAATGAGACGTACAAAGCGAATCATTTTTCGTAAAATGCACTCTTTAGGTGAAGAAGTAAGAGGAAGGGAAGTTTCCACAGACTCTGTGATTTTTGTTTTCTGCAAAAGTAGCCTGGAGGCTTCCTCATTCATAATCTCTACAGGATCTAAACAGACAGAGTCATAACAAGGATCTACCAAATTCTCGAGGATAAGCTTCTTTAACTCCTCAATTTCCTTCATCCCTACGGAGAAGCTCCCCGTAGAGGAAAAGGAGAGGGTGGATTTAGGGAGCGTTTCCTTCGAAGAAGAGGCAACATATTTTCGAAAACTTTTCCGTAAGCATTCATTGCGCGTATAATAATTTTCATCACTCAAAAGAAAAGAGAGAGAATCGTCAGAAGGAGAGGGCAAATCAATCGTAGTGGAGGTCATAGCTTTTCGTTGACACATTTTCACAGCCTCACGTTCAAAAACACTGCAAACAAAGAGGGAAACACTAAAAAATCCAAAGTAAATCGCATTGCTATTATAATCCAGCAAAGGAGTGTCATTCTTTCCTGCCCATGTGAAATATGAGAGAAATTAAGGCTGAGTGTCCTCTCTCAAATTACAAAAAAGTCCATTTTATCAAATAGTGCAAATAAATGAGGAGAAACACCTTGAAAACATGTAAACAGACAGGTCAGACCTACCCAAATCGATCACGAGTACCAATCGGTTTACCAAATATAATTAAAGAAAGCACTTGGAAATCTCCAGTTAAAACGATGCGGTCACAGGTGGTCACACCTCCTTCTGGATACAAAATAATCGAGTCAGGATACCACCCTGGCATGAGCAATAATTTTTCAAACACCGGATGTGATGGATCTCGTGTGTTACGGAAAAAAGCAGAAATTTCACATTCTCTGGGATTCGTATTCATATGTCCTTCAAAAAGTAAGCCAGGATGATATTTTTCTCCGGGTGATAAGATATACATATGATGCAAAAGTACATCGTGCTCTGTAAATTCAATTGTTTCCATGCGACTGGGAAAGGAGGAAGGAGATCTGGGAATAATAGGTAGAGAATCACCGGCATTCTCTGGCTTGGCAGTTAGATGCATGTAGCAAACAATCGTTTGGGAAGCAAGTTTTGCATCCCCTTCATCATTCAGAAAAAGATCTTCCAGAGCAGATTTTGGCTCACCTGTGCTTGATGAACTTCCCCCATAAAGTGGTAGAATGGGTCGGGCGAAGTGGGAATACTGTGGAACGCGTCTGATTGCGGCTTCTCCGTATAAATCACCATAAAAATATCCATTTCCTTCTCCTGCTGCTCCCATGCTATTCATAGGTCCGACATCCGGAAGATTTCTGGAACTCTCTTTCCCTGCAATACCATAAAAAGCACCCCCTCCCCCACCAATTCCCTTATTTCCCATCATTCTGCTATGAGAAATCGATCCCATAGGAGCGGAAGCACCCATCATAGGGTGTTCATTAGAATCCAGCACAAAAGAGGCATTATCACCAATAAACATGCCATCCCCTGGCCCTCGTCGATGCTGCTGTGGGCCACCATATCCATGCGGAGGTCTTCGAGACTCCCACACAGAAGTAAATGCTCCCATTCGATCACGTAGAGCATCCCCTCGGCCATCAGCCATTGCATTCTTCTCATGACCAAAAAATCCTCTCCCTCCCATCACACCGACACCTCCTCGAGGACCCCATCTTTGCATGGGTTGATTATGTAGTCCACGAAATTCAATGGGCATCCTTTGGGAAAATGCATGATCACGGCTAAAGTTTCTGTGATTGGGATTCCCACGTATTCCCCGCCCGCCACTACCATCCCCTCCTTTTCGATTGGAGGAACGAGAATTTTGGCTTGCGGGCGATTGCATATTCATTTTTGCATAATCTGAAACAATGGGTGAGCCGGTAAAATTTCAAGCGATTCGGAAAAGAGGATAAACAACGCGGAATGTCACTTATTCTGCCGCGTAAAATAACACGGATCAACGAAAGCAATCAGAATCATCCATCATATAGCGAGATGAAGAGAGGTAGTGGTCAATTCACTTTTTTCTATTCCACGAACATAAATTCACGGAGCACTTTGTGATTAAAGGAAGGCTTGCATGGAAGGTTGCAGCACCTTTTGCAACTGTATCTCACTGTCAGCTTTTCCTGGCTGAATTAATGCGTTTTGCTAATGTCGCACGTTCGTGTTGTAGAAAGAATGCAGTTTGCAAAAATACATCGGACAAGATAGTACGTCCGCAAAAAACAATTCTCACTATTCTAAGAGAAATGACTAGAATAAGGGAGGCAGCCAGTAAGCATTGTTTACCCGAGTGATTTGGAAAGATTGATTCGAAAAAGCAGTAAGAAACACCTATAGCCAGCAATAAGTAAGAGACGAAAAATGTTTGCGTTGTCTAAACTATGTGAAACAAAAGAAGTATAAGCAAAGCGCGAAAAAAGTTCTTTTTCATTATTTGTGCTTCACTGGGAGAATACAGAAAAGTCGACTGATGCAAAATACTGGTGCCATGCTGAGAAAGAAAAATGTATAGCAATAATAGAAGCTCGAATATTCATACAAAAAGAACGGTCGAAGTTAGACCAGGAGACAAGTAGAAAAATGATCAAAGCAAAAGCTGGAGAAGACAAAAGTAAAAGCAGGCAAGCAACTATTTTGCAGGTTCAACATGTGAGAGAGGAGATTGGTGCTTTCTGCACAAGATAAAGCAGTATTCCATTCATTCATTCATTCTTAAGAAAAGTCCAACACTCAATCAGCCAGTTACAAGCTTGACGGGATGATGACAGTTACACATTCAGTGAAGAAGTCAAAAACAATGTTCGCAGTCAAATAGGGTACAAATTCGTCTTATTGAAAACTATCAATCCGATTCAAATGTATTATAATGTTGTAAAGAAAAAATTTGTTAAAAGATAATTCATAAATAAAGTAAGATATCATTTGGGTTTTCGTTCTCACCTAAAATAATCGGGCCTAGCGCAAGACTTTATTTAGCAAATGCCAACGGCAAAATCTTCGCTTTTCTATTGAAGGGATGCCAAAAGAACAACAAGCGGAAAACTTTCTTAATTGAGATTTGCTATAATATAAATAAGATAAAGATTACAAAAATAGTAAACTCCGTTACAGTCTAAATAGCGACATCACCGGAATTCACATTTTTTAAACAATGCCGGAACTCGGGATTGAACCAAGGACCTTCAGATCTTCAGTCTGACGCTCTCCCAACTGAGCTATCCCGGCAAGTAATAAAGTTATTTTGATTTATGTTTTTATGAATTCTTTTCGAGGACAGTTGTAATTTTTTTCAATTGGATTTGCTAAAGAAGTTTACAGAGCCTATTGCATCCTCGAATTATTAGTTGTACACATATTTCCCTCTGCTTCGTAGTGCAGTAATTTTACATGCATATGAGTTAAAGCAATTCTTTTTTGAATGCATCGATGAATGATACAAATTTCCTGAGATGAGTCACTTTTCATCCTGTGTAGAAACTTTTTAAAGAAGCTTGAGGTACAAAGCAGAATTCGTGAGTTTTGTATTCGCAATAATTCTTTACCCAACACATTCTCAGGAATTTTTGTCCATTTCTATATTTATTCCGAAATGTGCAATTGTTTTGCATTTGGCTAAAATATGCAATTTGTTTCAAATGCCAGTTGACTCCGTTATTACCCTTTTGTAACAATGACTTTTACTTAAGAGCTATTGTTTACATAAAGCACAATTTCAACGCAATATTGTTTCTGTTTTCATGTAATATTAACAAATCATTTATACAACATTACAGTTCAGTCATTTGCGTCAGCTTCTTTCCGTCGATATTTCTTGTTTGTGCGATATAAATTCTTGTTTTATACGAATAGAAAGCAGCAATAAAAAAAGGCTATGAACCTGCTGAAGCAGTTGCACACAATTTTGTCTACAACGTGCAGTATCTAGCATTACCAGTACTTTTCCCTGATCAATTCTTAAAATGTTTCAAGTTTTAGTATTTCACTATACATACTTGTTCTAATCGTACATTTTCAATGCAACTTGAAGAATCTACGTATAGAAAATGCTAATTCTTCATCACTCACTAGACGGAGCGTTTATGTATTGAGGGCATCTGTGGCCTGATTTATCAATCACAAATGAATGATTTTGGTTTTTGTTATTCGATTGAATGATAGATTCACAAACTTGAGGATTTTGCAGTTTTCGTTCTATAGGATAAGTATAAAATTTTGTAAACTAAATAACGTTGCTCTCGCTACGCTGATGGAAAACAACTTCATTATCTTACATATATTCTCGGATACACATTGTAAGCATCCTCGTATCAAAATAAAATATATACCGAATGTAATTTTCCGCTATAATATATTGCACTCGATAGTTAGTAGAAAGGAAACAACCACCATTTCCCAATACCTCGACAAGATTACACTAACACCATATTGTACGACATCTTGGAGTTATATTACAATTCTGTGATGCGAAAAACCCGTTTCTGTACCTTCTCATTCAAAAACATTTTACGTGAAGAAATTCGAAAATTTCAAAAAGAACAATTCGAAAATTTCAAAAAGACCACTTTTTAAAAACAATAGAATCACAAAAATTAAACATAAACTGTTTGCTTGCGTGCAAATAGTCCCAGTACGCATTTATTGGATACACCAAATGAAAAATGTTTGCGAGAGTAATAGTTCCTTCCATGCATCTATCCACGAAATAAAATAGTTCGCGTAGAAGAATTCCAATATATTCAAGCATATAATACGATATAACCAAAAGTGTGAGCCGGATTTCTTATTCTGCCAAAATTTTCACCAATAAAAAATGGAAATCGACCTTGCTATAAACAATAATATTTGCAAAGAAGTTATTTGAAATGAATTTAGTTTTGCATCTACTCAATAAAATATATTTATTCTTCATGTTGCAATATAAGGACGTATAATACGTAAAATTTACAAAGATTCTCCTTCAGCGGGTAAAGAGCGAGTGTTTCTGCACAAAACAAAATTCAGGCAATTCAAATTATTAGAAAAATATAAATGACCTAGAAATGATTGTTTAAAGTGAACTCTTCCGCACACAAAAACTAACAAAATGTTTTCACAAGTAAGAAATAAGTAACTAATAAATACTTTCGGGAGCAAAGCAGTTCGCAGCATACCTTAAAAATACAGCGCAGCATCGCTTGAATTTTTTTCCTGAACCACAATCGCATGGCTTGTTAGCCCGGCGTGAGATATGCTTGGCCATTTCAACTTCGGGAAGGTCTACGAATGGTTCATCTTCATTATTGTTGGCTTGAAGAGTGAAACCTGAAGGGGCAGTAAAAATATACAAAGCCTCATCACAGCATGAAATAAGTTTGCTATTTTGAAAATAGAGAAACCAATAAATTCGCACCTAAAAAATTTCACGTATTGCATAATTACATGCAGAAAATATAGCAGAAGGGCATTGAATTTAAAGCACAACAATTACAAGAATATTTACAAAATGTAACAAAGTATTTCATCATCAGAATAAAACAAAACTCCACTATATCAGCGAAATAGAATGTAAATTAGCTAATTAATTTTGATATCATGCTGTATGCCCACATTATAATTATTAAAAAAATTCCCTTTTAAGCCAATAAAAAAATTAGAAGCTAATCTGAAAAATCCATTTCAGCACACTCATGTATCACAAAAAAACAATAGTTTAGTAAAACCCAAAGCTGGTGAGAAAACTGTGCCTGTAATGCAAAAAGTAAAAATTAGGCTTTCATTCCACTAACGAAATAAGTTTTTCAGTAAGAAAGTTCAAAATTCGTTATCAGTGGAAGAAGCACTCTTTCTGAGATGCTGTAGAAACATGAAGATATAACCCACCTCCACGCATCTCCTGATCTACTTGATCTGCTCTCAGATCTCCAAGAAGATGCCGTAATTGAGGATTAAATACTGAATAGGCACTGTAGCCATCGACTCTACTAGATAGATTTATGAAAATACTCACGATAAGAGATAATATGAAAAATCTGCAAAACACAAAACAAAGAAGAATAAACATTTTTTAGTGTACAAACACACATAAATCAATTGTTTTCTCACTATGTGTGAAAAATTCTCACACAAAGCAACCTATCTTGTATCCTACAGCGAAGCATATACACATTGAATCCTTTTACTGAAACGCTTGTAAAGAATACTTCACAAATGAAAAGAAATCACTAAAAATATAAATGATTCATAAAAATTATAACGTATAGAGCAGCCAGAACGTAAGGATTCAATAAATTAGCTACTAAACGAGAAACTAAAATGCCTTATCTGTAAATGGAAAAACTTACATTTTCCCCAAAATTTTGACGGCAATGATCCACAAGACAAATAAAAGAATTTTTCCTGTTAGCTTGCCTATGGAATCATCATGCACAATGTGAGGTAAAAATTTGTACTGAAAATTAATCATATTGATGCAGTAAATGGATTCTCGAGGACAAATCCGTTTTTTATTAACAAAAAGCAACACTGCTACCAACGAAATTTGAAATGGCACGAGAATAATTAAAAAAGGCACACACTAAATATTGATTATTTGCTAAACATTATCTTTCGTAAGTGAACAACGAAAACAGTGACGTCTCACGTTGATCCCGCATCTAATTATTTCTACAAAACTACTACTTTGCCAAATAAATAGTTACGCCTACTCCCGTCATCCCCTTGAATTAAGATCCCCCCATTTGCTTTGGCTACACCCAAGGTTTAGAAACTGACAGAGAAAGATTTTTCTCAAGTGGAGCAGTAAAAGATTGAACAAATTCCACAACGACCTTCCGTCAAGGGCCATTTTCTTTGAGTCGCACAAAGCCTACATGGTGTTGGATCAGCAAGCAACACGACTAGGACAAGGGAATAAGGACTCTGCTTTAATGTTGCTTTCCTCAGATTTGGCAACACTCTTGACTGACAATAAAAAAGCAGGTTAATTGCACCTTTTTGGTTAGCAAGAATGTCTGGAACTTTTGGCGTCCGAACCTTTTTGCGGTGCAATGTAAAACAGTCTGTGTTTCGTATTATAACATTGCTTGCACAATAATTTTTCAATTGTGAATTGGAGAAAGGAGCATGCAGTTTTGAAATATCAAACCGGAAGCAACCAAGAATAATATCACAAGACAAGAGAAGTTTTACTACGAGACAATTTCATGTTTCTACTCAATGAGGTGAAATTACTCCTCAGTTCAAGCTGCCCATCCATCGTACGTTCTTTTCTATTTTATCACCCTTGATAACTGCAAAAGTTGCTCCGAGTTTTGCTACGACGATAATCTAAATGGAAGCAATGAAAATTGGAACTACTTTTCTTAGATCGTGATACACTGTTGCTGCGTGTGGGTTGAAGTGTCTTTCTAATCGTGTCTGATGCGAAAAGTAGTACTCGACAGCTTGCGTGCCGAACTTTTCGCAAGGTATTTTAATGCTCAAATTGCTTACTTCCCTTGAGTTTTCGTTAAAATGACGATAAAAGCGCAAGTAGATATTTTTTCTGATGCTTTTGACTAAAAATACTTGTTTGTCATACCTCCATGTAAAGGAAATATTGAAAAATTCAACAAATTTTGTGCTGCGCTGTGCTCTTTTTTATACCGGTGCCAAGAGTTATGAATCTAACTATAATAACAGTAAGGGTGAAAGTAATGAAACTCAGTTATACCATGTTTTCACAAATTATCCGTATGAATACAAGTGTAATCGGCAGCAATTTACATCAATAGATCAAAAAGTGATGACTATTTACTAGTAGTAACTCACAATGCGTCAACCTTATTGCTTCTTTTGCTACTTTGTTAATGTGTTTAAATACAAGCTCGCCAATCAAGTATCCCATGCGGATTGATGCCACATTGTGGGACAATGCTGTTAATTTTTCATTTTAATAGGTTTTTTGCAAGAAGCTTTCTCTTTTTTGTGATGGCTACATTTTGATTAAGATCATATGAGCAAAAATAACTAAAATACATTAAATCCTTAATATTTTCTGAACTATTCGGATTTTCAAATTTTTTTTGGAAGCTTACTGTAAAACGTAACTTTTTACTAAGTGCCAAATACACTACAAAACATTACCGACCTGTGTTAGGCAGAAAAGTCATGTAAGCATTTAACAAAAAACTGAACAGCTAGTATAGTAGCTCTAAGAATGTAGCTATTAATGCAATTGCATTGAATTCAAAAGTGTAAAAGATACA